AATGAATGTGGTCTGCCAATTGCCTTTCTCACAGGGCTTGTGGCTTTCCTTCCAACTGCTAATGTCTGGAATAGGCTCACTTTTAATACACTTCAGAAGCCACTTTCCACACGCATGCCCTTACCCTGCCTCAATCTCTGGCTGAATCCCCAATTCATAATCCCTTTGCTGCCCGTGCCATGTAGGGAGTAAGAACATTGTATATGCAGCCCGCAGATGAAGTTCTTTCTTGAGAGACAAACAGTCTGTTAGTAAAATGACCATGCATCCTGGGTTGCACCTGTCCCATGGTCCCAGCATAGTTGTGAACAGAGCTACCTTTCTATTTGCAAGTTCCCGGCTTTGGACAATAGATCAACTGGTCACCTAGCTACTGGCGTCCATGTATAGGGCACGAAGCTGTTGTATTCTTCACCCAATCTGAGACAAGCTGAGAGATTACTGCTGCACCTTTGTTTGTCTTTCTTTTTGGTGGCACATAAGGAAACAGAGAAACAGATGATCTCACTGAGTGCACAGATCATAGGAGAAAAGCCACAGACAGTTAGTGGTCCCCTGCGGGCCATCATTCATCCCAGTGCAGCACTAACGCTCATGATGGTATTGCGCGCTGTCTGGGGCAGTGATTCATGTAGCTGGCATTGCCTGATGGGAGGAAACTGGTGGGGGAAACCTGGTGGGGGGTCCTGTGAAGGGTCCAGTTACCTCCTCCTCTTCTCTTTCTGCGCATCAGCTACAGACCCGCCTCACTTTGTGAGAGGTTGCAGTTTCTCTCTTAGGCATGTTAGGTAGTCCTAATGCCTGGTGTGGGGGAGGGAGGACAAGGGAGAGAAAGGGGCACAGAATCTTTTAGATCTTGCCCTCTTTCAAGTCAGCTCTCCACCTCTTTTTAAAAGAAATAAGTCATTATTATTTTGTTGTTGTTGTTGAGTTGCTTTTGTGTTTGTCTAATTTTAGAAAAAAGTAAAATATTTTCCTCTTACACGTCTGGGAAGAAAATATATCTAAATTTATTATTTTAGTTTGTTCATTTATTTATTGTTGACTAAAAACTTTCACTCCTGGGTCATTTACTGGGTAGATAGGCGAGTGCTGGAAATTCCAGCTTAGATGCTAAAAAGGAAACCCAAGAAGGAATGGAATTAAAATTTAAAGTAATGCCTTTTTATCTACAGTATCCTCCGTATCTAACTATCTGTCTACTTCTATTGAATTATCTCTCTGTGTGTATTTTTTTGATCTTCATAAGATCTCTCTGAACTTGATAATGGTTGAACTTGTAAGTGAACAAATGATTCTCATTGAGTCTGAAATTATTGAATAGCATTGGTTGAACCTCTACCCTGTAACATCTTTTGAGTTACATGTACAGAGCGCAGTCATGTCATTTCACCATCTGCGTGCTCATACATTCCTAATGGGCTGCCCTCCATTCACTTCTGCAGCCTGAATGCAGAGAAAAATCTTAAAGCAAATGCAATTAATTTTAAAATGTTTTACCTGAGCTCAAACAATTAAGATTATCAGAAAATACTTTAGAAAATTAATAGAAATTAGAACTAGAAACTCAATTAGAATTGTTATTATTGAGTTAAAAATGATATTGCCAATTCAAGTGGTAACAGTCAGTTATAACCCAAGTTTGCTGATTCATTTGAATTCTGGTTGTTTGCCAGAGATTTTGAGAGCCATAAAAATCAGATAGAAAATCAAGTGTCATTCTCAGTCTTGGGGTTTTCTAAAGCCTTACCAGAAGTTCGGTGACTTGTGGGAGAGCTTATTTCTCCTTCTCATTGAGTCTTGCTCTCGAGAAGTTAGTTCAGAGCATCAGTGGCCCTACTGTGTCCATAACAACCCTTATGTATAATTTCCACAAAACTCCTTCCCCAAGGCATTTAGGTGCGTTGCCCATTTTACTGGAGATTTGGCAGGGAGAGAGGAATTGACATAACAGATAGAACTCAGTTAAAATTGGATACTAGATGGAGTTGCTCTTCAAAGCCCGGGGCATTGCCACTACTGAGCCTGAATTTCCCATGTGTCAGTTGACACCTCTTTTTCTCGATGTATTTCTCTTGTCCTCCTTTTTCAGGCCTTCTCCCTTTTCTCTGATCCCTCCCTTTTTGGGTATAAAAGTTAGCCTTTTTCCACTTTAATTAATTTATTCTCTAATTTTATTTTAATGCAGAGTGAATCATCTCTAATCAGCTTCAACAGCCAAATGAAGTTTGGTGTCTCCATTTGCATGTTCAAGGAAGTAGACTAATTAGAAATGATCCCTTGTAAGGTCTCTTCTGCCTAAGTTCTGGGACAATGGCTGTCCTCCTTCCTCATCTGTCTGGAGGTGAGGATGGAAGTTGGGGAGGTGGCATGCATTCTGGGTACCAAAGATAGAGGAAAGCCAAAACCATCTGCTTTGGGCCAGACAGGGTTGAATCCTGGCCTCTCCACTTCCTGGCTGGGTGACCTAGGACAAGTTCCTTAAGTTTCCTGAGGCTGTTTCCCCATCTCTAAGGTGGGGGATAATACTACTTTATTGTGAGTTGTGGAAAGAATAGAATGGAATCATACACAACTTGTAGAAAGGATAAAACAGAATGCACCTGGCGAGAGGCAGGCACTTAACAAATGTTAGTTTCCTTTTCCTTTCAACTGATAAACACTCTCTTGAGGGTTACATAGGTAAACATTAAATATTTATAAATTGCATAATTCAAGAAAAATGAAACTTGAAAAGGAATCTTCAGACTTTTTGATGAGACAAATCAACATCATCCCCGTTTGTCTTACGTGCAAATCTGTATTTCTGTGTGCTATGCTGGGTTTGCTTATGACGTTTATGTGGAATTCTCAGCACCATGAGACTTCTGTGAGCCTAACCTCTCTTCACAGCTTGATAGGAGTTATAAATATTAGGTACTGATGGTATGATTGAAGGCAGCCTAAGTGACTGAAGCCTAGAGCTCTCCCTGTGGTATTAGTTCCAAGTGGGTTCATCAGAGCTGAATAGACAATGAAGATAGAAACCCTGGTAAAAACTTTGTGGCTTGGTCTGATGGTACTTATACAGCACAGTTAAAATGGAGATGTTACCAGTGGAAAGGACTCACCATCCGTCTCCGCACTAGAGCAGAGCAGAACATACCTCTGATGATTATGTGACCATTGTCAATTAGACTGATTTATGCAAAGAAAGTCTGTATACATCCCATGCAGCCAGATTTTAAATTCTAGGGTGCCAGGGTTTGTTAGAAATAGTGGCCGGCTATGGCCTTGCATAATATTCCATGTTCTCTTAGAGGCAGAAAAGAATAGATTAAGAACTTGACAGAAGGTGCTTTTTTCCCCAGTGCAGTCCAGTCAGTTGCCTATGAGTCCACCAAATCTAGCTTGCAGCCTCTTTTTGTACAACCCCTGAGCTGAAAATCATTTTTGTCTTTTTTTAAAGGATTATTTAAAAAAAGAGAGAAGAAAAATATACAACAGAGAGCATATGTGGCCCACCAAGGCTAAAATATTTACTATCTGGCCCTTTATGGAAAAGGTTGTTAATCCCCTGGTCCATCCAGAGTGTTTGAAATAACCCAGATTAAAGAAGGCAAAATGTAACGATGATTGACTTTTTCAGTTGTAATCTGATTTGCGACAACCACTCTGTGCCATGGGGATTCCTTAGGATAAATGTAATTACGTTTTGATATTTGTGTCTTGCTCTCCCTACCTAGAGTTAGGTTTGCCCAAGAAACAGAGTCTCTGTTTGTTGTTCTAGAAGCAGCTCCTATGTCTGTTACCTCTTCTCCAAGGCTTTTGCCTGTTGCTTTTCTATCCCAGCTCACCTGTGTGAACAGCATGGAGTTGGGCTGCCATGACACCACGTCCTACCTTTTCCCCTGGCTTGAAAGACGATGGCAGGGGCCAGCTCAGGAAGAACTGCTATGGAGTTTTTCACCGTATCTTGCTCATGATGAGGCTAGGGAGGGATTTTTAGCAGTATATTTAATTGTTGCTGAAGTATGAACTTGGGGAAGGAGGCAACTGTGAACCGGTGATGCATAGACTAAGTCTCCTGGAAGAAGCAGGGCTCGAATTAGAACCAGGAGGATGTGCACGGTTTGTGGGAGGGCACAGGTACATCAGTATAGGGAACATCTCCTGGCGTGTCCTGCCCAGAGTGGGGAATTTATAGCAGTGTGAGATGAAAATGAGTCAGCATTGTGGCCAGTTTGTTGGGAATTTTAAGGTATATGGAATTCCAAATTCAGTAATCATTGAGGAGTCATTGTAGCTTATTTTTAAAAAGAACAATATGTGTGTGTGTGGTGTGGGGTAGCGGAGAGGGAAAGGACAATCACGAAATTGGCCACTGTTTGTTAAACCCTAACTGGGTGCCAGTCATTGGGCTAAGGGTGTGACTTGGACCATCTCATTTAATGCTCACAACAACCCTGCGGAGAAGGTATTATCTCTAGTTTTCAAATAAGGAAACTGGGCTTAGAGAGGTTCAAATAACTTACCCAAGGTTCGAAGTTAATAAAGGGCACAGCCAGGATGGCTCTTAACTCCTGCCCTGTTGAAACAAGCTCAATGTAAAACATTCTTACAAGGCAGAAAAGAGTGAAAAAGCAACCAAAATCCTGCCTTGCAGAAATGCCCACTTTGGGTGAACATTCTAGACGTGTGTGTGTGTGTGTGTGTGTGTGTGTATGCATGCACAGCAACTTGTATGCCTTTTGCATAATCTGGGCCACCCCATACCTGCAAGCTTTCTATGTCACCATATTCTATATCCTAGTGTTTCTCCCCCCGTTAACACTAATTTTCTAATGTTCACAACTGGATGCATAGTATTTTGCTTTGGGACGGTACCCTCATCCACTTAACCAGTTCTTTTTAGATCGTTGCAGGTTCTTGAGCAGGGGGATAATTGACCGGAACCTTTCTTTTCTTTTTTAAAAAACAACTTTTAAACGGAGTCTTGTGCTTTTTTCCTTTTTTTGCAGCATGCCCTTGACGCTGACAATGCGGGAGTCAGTCCAATAGGAAACTCTTCCAACAACAGCAGCCACTGGGACCTCGGCAGTGCCTTCTTCTTCGCTGGAACTGTCATCACCACCATAGGTACCCCTTCGTTTGCTAATACCTCTTCCTCTGCAGGTCATCTTGGGCGCTTAGTCAGGGTTTTGTCCTCATCGGGTACACTATAGTTTGAGGTTCAGAGGAGGCTTATGAAACACTGTCATTTAAATTAACGCAGTCATTGTGGTGGCTTTCAACAAACGCCAAAGCAGAATGAAGTATCTCTTTGTCCAGAATGAAAGGCTAGCAAACCTAATGAAAAGGTTAGAATGGAAAATATGAGTTGGTCGGTTGAACTTGGATTACTCATTTGAGCTCAACTGCCATTTGAAAAATTGTGCTTCTTATTAAAGTTACAGAGTAAAGAACCAAAATGTTCTATGAAGTTTGTTATAAAAAACAGTTGCATTCCTCTCACCTTTTCTTACCCTCCCAGAGACTGTCACTTTCATCTGTTTTGATTGTTGATTTTAACATTTATCCCCATGTCTTTAAATATCATGCTTGTTCTACTTCCACAATTTTCAATTTTGGGCATTTTTTTGACTTGCTATTGAGGAAGATGAGGAGTTAGTTCTCTTTCTTCCTCCCTGCCCCACCACAGAAGGGCTCTTTTCCTGTCCTCCTGTCTTCCCAATTTTAATTAGATAGAAGTGAAACATCTGCATTATTTTGACTAGGTAAGTGCTTTTTGCAACTGATCCTGGAATGAACTATGATGACTTCTTTCCTGTATCAGTCTTTGTCTTATTTTATTTGTGTGTGCGTGAGTGTTTTTGTAACACTTAGACAGTTTTGCATTTTTATCTTAGGGGTTAACTTCATTTATTTATTTATTGAGATGGAGTTTCACTCTTATCGCCCAGGCTGCAATGCAGTGGCGCAATCTCGGCTCACTGCGACCTCCGCCTCCAGGGTTCAAGCAATTCTCTTGCCTCAGCCTCCTGAGTAGCTGGGATTATGGCACCTGCCACCATGCCTGGCTGTTTTGTATTTTTAGTAGAGACAGGGTTTCATTGTGTTAGCCAGGATGGTCTTGAACTCCTGACCTCAAGTGATCCACCCACCTTGGCCTCCCAAAGTGTTGGGATTGAATATATGAGCCATTACACCTGGCCTAGGGGCTAACTTTATAAGTATAACAGCGTATAATAATCTCAGTGTTCTATTTATTAACCAATATATATTCGATCCCTATAATGGGTGATGATATCTCTTCTCTCTTTTTCCAACACAAAATTTTAGTGGACATCATCTTTCAAATGATTAAATGTGCTTATGTTTCTCTTATATGATTTGCCAGCTCTAAATGATAACTCTTGGCTCTCAGCTATTACATATAATGCAGTCAGTGAACTTAGCATCTCAACTTCCTTTCTGTCTTCTGCTATCCATTATTACTCATTGTATCACTCTCTGTAAGTTGTATCTCACTTTATTGTGCCTGGCTTCATTGTTATTTGAAGATGTTGAATTTTTTTTTAAACAAATTGAAGGTGTGTGGCAATTCCACATTGAACAAGTCGATTGGTGCCATTTTTCTAATGTCATATGCACCACTCTGTGTCTCTGTGTTACACTTTGGTAATTTTCACAATATTTTCAAACTTTTTCACTTTTAATTATGTCTGCTAAGGATATGTGTGGTCAGTGATCTTTGAGGTGATGATTGTCATTGTTTTGGGGTGTCACAAACCAGGCAGGCCCTTTTAAGATGGTGAACTTAGTAAGTGCCGTGTGTTCTGACTGTTTCACCAGCCGGCCATTCAGGCATCCCTGATCCCTGAGGCACAATGGTATTGAAATTTGGCCAATTAATAACCCTGCAGTGGCCTCTCAGTGTTCAAGTGAAAGGAAGAGTGAGTGCATGTCTCTCATTTTAAATGTAAATCCGGAAATAATTAAGCTTGGTGAGGAAGGCATACAGAACTCCAAACAGGCCAACAGCTAGGTCTCTTCTGCCAAACAGTTAGTCAAGCTGTGAGTGCAAAGGAAATTTTGTGGTTTTTTTTGAGACAGGATCTCTCTGTGTCACCCACGCAGGAGTGCAGTAGTGCCTTCATGGCTCACTGCAGCCTTGATTCCTGGGCTCAAGGGATCCTCCCACCTCAGCTCCCCCTCTGATGGCTCTGAGCAAAGTAAATTGAACATCCCCTGGAAAGGAGTCATCATTGCAGATGCCATTAAGAACTTTTGTGATTAACTGGAAGAGGTCAACATATTAACATTAACAGAGTTTGGAAGAAGTTGATTCCAAGCCTCATGGATGATTCTGAGAGGTTTAAGCCTTCACTTTTGAATTCTATGGAGGCTGTCACTGCCGGTGTGTTGGAATTAGAAGTGGAGCCTGAAGATGTGACTGAATTGCTGTATCTCATGATAAAACTTGAATGTATGAAGAGTTGCTTCTATGGATGAGCAAAGAAAGTGGTTTCTTGAGATGGAATCTGCTCCTGCCTGTAAAGATGCTGTGAATATTGTGGAAATGACAACAGAGGATTTAGAATATTCTATCAATTTAGTTGATAAGGCAGTGACAGGGTTTGAGAGGATTGATTCCAATTTGAAAAAAGTTCTACTGTGTGCAGAATACTATCAAATGGCATTGCATGTTACAGAGAAATTGTGAATGGAAGAGTCAATGGATGCAGCAAGCTTCTTGTTTTATTTCAAGAAATTGTCACAGCCACCCCAGCCTTCAACAGTCACCACCCTGATCAGTCGGCCGTCATCAGCATCAGAGGAAGACCCTCCGCTAGCAAAAACATTATGACTTGTTGAAAGCTCAGATTATTGTTAGAATTTTTGGCAATAGAGTATTTTGAAGTTAAGGCACGTATATTGTTTTTTAGACCTAATGCTATTGTACACTTAATAGGCTATAGTAGAGTGTAATCATGACTTTTATATGCATTGGGAAACAAAAAAGAAACCGTGCGACTCACTTTATTGCAGTGGTCTGAAGCCTAACTCACAATGTCTCTGAGGTATGGCTGTATAAACTCAGGGGACGTAATTTACATTTTAATCTGTTACCCTGATTTTTGCATTCGTTTTCATCATAGCTCTACAGTTAGATATCATGCGTGTTCATCTCTAATCTCTTTGCTGCTGTTTATCTCATGATCACGTACTTGGCTGAAAGTCATCTTCAAGTAGTTGACTTAAGAAAGGCTCAGGGGAGCAACATTCCGTGAGCTCTTGCACTGTTCACAGGTGTAGCTTGACATTTGAAGGATAGTTGAAACAAAATGAAATTCATTTTGTTCACTCACATTTTCCCTTTCTTTTGAGACTGAGTCTTGCTCTGTTGTCCAGGCTGGAGTGCAGTGGTGCGATCATAGCTCACTGCAGCCTCCAATTCTGGGCTCAAGTGGTCTTTCTGCTTCGACCTCCTGAGTAGCTGGGACTAGAGGTGCGTGCATACCACCAGGGCTAGCTAATTTTTAAAATATTCTGTAGAAGCCAGGCCTCTCTGTGTTGCCCAGGCTGGTGTCAGACTCCTGGCCTCAAAGGATCCTCCTTCCTTGGACTCCCAGAGTGCTAGGATTACATGTGTGAGCCACCATGCCTAGCTTCACATTTTCTTTGTAACTGGTCTCAAAGATGTTCCTCTCCTGTTTTCCAGTGTTTCTAGCGGGGGAGGGGGGACCCGATGCCAGCCTATTTTTTCCCCCTTTTATAGGTGACCTGATCTTTTTGTTCAGTGACTTAAAAGGTTATTTCTTTATCTTTCATCTGAAAACATTACTAGGTTTTGTCTGTTTTATTGCGGTAAAGTTTTCTTGCTTGCCAATCTTTAAACGTTTTCTTTGCTGTGTGGTTTTGGTTTTGTTCTTTGGGAGATTACCGCTATACATATTTCTAACTTCTTTACCTGTCTTCTGTGTCTCTCATTTCTTTTCTACTTTTTAACTCTTAAAATTTAGTTTTCATTTTGTTAATTTTATTCTCCATATTCCTTTTCTTTGTATGTTTTCCACAATGCCTATGCTACCACGTGCTCCTTCCAATTTTATTTTTTGTCTTTGTGATCAGTGGGGGATTTTTGATTTTTCCCTTTTCCATTTCATTCCTGAATTTCATAGCTCACATTTCATCTTCAGTTGTTCAATTTTTCCACTGATTTCTTGCATTTCTGCTTTTTGGCTTCTCTGTGAAGATTCTTAGAGATGATTATTTCATACCTGGTTACAATTTTGGTATGGGTTTGGAAGCATTTTTCTGGTGACCATCCTTCTATCCATTGGTAAGTTTTGCTACTTTTCACATTTTTTTTTCTTATGGAAGGTTTATATTTATGCAGGGTCAACTTCTTTTTAAAATACCAAGCAAACTGGATATTCCTGGATCAGCTTTCTGTCAAATGGTTTCATAGGGTCGGGGAGAGGAGAGCAGGGTGAATCAGGGTACCACCCTCCAGTTAGCACATCCTAACTCTCTTCATTTCTGTGAAGAGTGTTTCCTGCAAATAGGGTCCATCTGTATTATTTCTGTCCTAGCTCTGCTGTTTTCTGAACCAGATCAAGTTCAGGGTGGCTTCTGCTGTTATCCCTCTTTATCCTGTATTTCACACTTGGTAAACAGAGGGACATCTCTTTTGAAGTTCAGAGTGAGACCCTCACCTTTATACTTGGATATTTTCTGGTACTTTCTGAAATTTACCATTTTTTCGTCATTCTCCGAGCTTCTCTCTTTTTCTGTTCACATGGCTCTGTCCAATCTCTGCTTCTTTCAGTAGTTCTTACACATATGCTGGAATCTCTGGATTATATCCTTCTTCCAGCTCTGCTGAAAATGAGTTTGAGGGTTTTCTGCCCACATACAATTGTGAATTAACACTGCAATAAACATCTTCATTCAGAAGCAGGAGAGACACCCAGCAGTGACTGGTCCACAGCAATGATGGACAGGCAGAGAGACTCCCCTGTTCTCCTGGTGGGGAAATTCCTCCATTAAAACTTGTTTGTACTTTCTAGGAAGACTTCCCTCCCTTATTGCTTTCTGAGGCCCAGCTACGCCTTTTGAGAGGTTCTTTCCTC